ATGCCTTTGTCTGATAGATTAAAGAGCTCTCTACTTCCAGACATCTTCTCCCTCTGCCAGTGATTATAGACGTAATCAAATTGCCCTTACCTTCTCTTTGGTGAGCTAAATAGATTGAGCTCCTTTGGGTATGACTTAAGGCCAGAACAGACTTTACATTCGTAACATTTCTAAAATAAAAAGCAAGCCAAAAATAAAACAACAACAACAATAAAAAACCCTGTTTCTTTGACCAACACTTTTCAGGCTTTCTTTATGCATTAGAGAAAAGCAAAGCAAGAAAAGCCATAAACTTAGCGTTCGTTTGCAGCTCATTTTTATAGAGGGTTCCCAACCATGGAGCAGTTCCATTGAACAATAATACAGCCCCTTTCCTGCTTAATCGCCAAAAACCAGTAGGCCAATGGTATGGATTCCTCCAATCCCACCCCCAGTCTGTGCACATCCAACACAGACCTGCTGACTCCCCAAAAATGCCCACCTAGTCTACTGACCCCATGACCTGATGCCAGCAGGCTTGTCCCCTGAAGTTATATAACCTGACGAGTCACATCAAACCAGAGGTGGTGACCGTTTGGAAATAGGGAGAGGTACATTTTGTGGGGTCATTATTCCATTCTGTAGTGAGAAAGCAATTTTGTTGCTGTTTCTATGGCTATAGAGTGCAATGGCCTTGGCTGTAATAACAAGGGTGGAGCGTTCAATTACAGACAGCAAGATTTTGGCAATTATCAGCTGTGCTTGTTCATGAATGGAGAGTTTATTTCTGTAAGGATCTAAAAGGAATGATTGCTTCTTATTTAATTGAAACTGCTTAAAATATTGCATAATCGGAGAAATAGCAAAGTGGGAGACCAACTCTGCACTCCTTACTCAGGTAAATTCAGTTTTACCTTCTGTTTTACCATAATAAGGGCTGGATTTTTATTTATTTATTGATGCAGCTGACAAATTTATTTTCTGCGCTGTGTAAATGGAAACCTGAATTGCTTTCACCTGCTGCTCATGCACAAATTCCTAGAGATAATAAAACAAAAATAGAAGCATAGAGTTTGAGGCCAGAAGAGACCACCAAATCATCTAGAATAGGATAAAGGAAAATTCCCATTCATTCTCTTGGGTTTGATTTACACCCTTAATGTAAAGAATCAGTATATGATGTTTTTTTTTATTTTACATTTTTTAAAAATTATTTTCCCTTCCATCTAAATAGATAAAAGCAACAGGAACCAAGTGATCAGGAGGGAACTGGAAGCTGCCTTTGTCACAGCTTTCTTAATCCATTTTCAGTACAGGAAGTTGCTTCTTATTACTTTTCCCTTATTCTCTTAAATGTATCAGTTTTTCATCTGTCCATTAGTTCCTCTGACTTTTTTGTTTACTGATGGTTCCATAAGAAGAAACCTCACATTTGAAATAGTGGGGGTTTAGCCTGCACTCTGTGTGTGTGTGTGAACATTAATGGCAGTTTTGTAAGCACATATTGAGACGAGAATACTCTCGATTGTATTTGAGAAATGAACCAAAACCCCATATTTGAGTCCCACAACAGCCTAATTTTAGAAACATTAGATATGGTTTGAGGTCAGTATTTTGTAGCTCAGGCCAGTGTCTAATTGTGTCTAACTTTATGGATTCAGAATTCCTGGAATTTCTTCCACTTGCAATCTATGTACTGACCCAATTAGTGGAGCGGGCAAAATGTTTTACATGTAACACAAAACCTAAAAAATAAAATTACTTCTTGCTGGAGCAATTTTGCAAGCTTTTGCCAAAAGTAAACTACTGTTGTTCACTTCAATATTATATTGTACTGATTAATTACTGTCACACTGTTACAACATTTTGTTCATCTGACCAAATGTTCTATGGAAAACTACTGTTGGTATATATGGGCATTTTGGCAGCTGTGAAAAAGGTAAAACAGAGGGTAAAAGTTTAAATTCTTATACAACTTTTACTGGGCCTGATTCATTTAACCCAGTGTAAATGCAAACTCCAGTTACTGCACATTTACACCGGTATAGTTGAGGCCAGTCATGACCATAATGACATAGCTAAAATCTCCGTCTTTACAAGGGTGAGGGTTAGAGTTTATTTTGATGTGCACCTAGATGTACTAATTCAAGCTATCCATGTAAATCCTTGTGACTATACATTCCCTCCATGTACAAATCTGGAATCTACCTGTGATTGTCATGGGTGAACAGCCTTAGGACTTAGTTCTCTACTTACCCTTGTTTTATTCTGTAGTAACTCCACTGACTTTAATGGAGTTAAAATACTCCTGATTTACACTAGTGTAAATTAAAGGAGAAACAGGGTCTTAGGGAAGCTTCTATCTGACTGACCTCAGTCCAGGTGCCATTAGCTATGTCTACACTACGCAGCTTTTAGCGACAGGGCTGTGCCACTATAGCCGTGTTGCTAAAAGGCACACAGTGTAGCTGTTTGTCGCTCTCCTGCCGACAAAGAGCTGTTCACACTGGCGCTTGTCGTCAGCAAAACTTTTTGTCTTTCTGGGGGCAGGGAGGTTGGGGGATTAACATCTCTGAAAGACAAAAGTTTTGTTGTTCAGTTGCCAGTGTAGACATAGCCTTAACTTATATAAGTCACACAGCAATTCTAAACTATATTTTATTTTAGCTTCTACCTACATCTTCATGGATTCTAGCTACACCACGTCCATGTCTGTTGTGGTGAACTATTAGTCAAAAGAGATCAAATAATCCTTCAGGCTTTACACCTCCACCAGGTTTGTATGATCTCTAGTTATATTGTCTACACTATGTCATTACTTCCATGTCAGAGAATAAAGCCAGAGTCTCCCTTAGGGAAATATATTGTAACCAGTTTCTGAGGTTTGCCTATATAGAGGCCCGGCTTGGTTTCATGAGGTTTTTACAAGTATACTCTAAATCCCCTCAGGAGTTTGCAAAACACTGTTATTTTTTGTTAAAAGTAACAAATATATATATTATCCAGAATTGTTTTTTGTCATTTCACCACTCACATCTCCAGACCTTGCAGAGCAGAAATTGTCTGTAAAATTAAATTTTCATCTATAATTTTCACAAATGAGAAGATGGTTTCCTGTTCAGGCCAGTTCAGAATCTATTATGAAAGGAAATATTGTTCCTGGTTTATACTCTCAGATCTGTTTAAATCTGGCAATTCTACATACTGACATAACGTCACATAAAGTGATTTCTCAGGATTACAGGAGTTGGCTTAAATCACGATAAAAAGAAAACACATTGAATAGCTTGGTAATAATGAACAAACAAGTTTTCCAGAATGTCACTTAGAAGAAGTTAAATAAAAATGGAGACTATTTATCATTTTATAATAATGCTTTGCACTTATATTGTACTGTACATCTTCTTTCCTGTAATTCTTAATTATTTTACCATATCTGTGTATATTTCATGTGTAAGATGAATGTGACAAACTACTGAATGCCCATTAAAATATATCATGAACTCCCTTAAGTAAGCCTCTAAAAATGGTCACTGAAATACTGTTCAACAACATTTTTTCCTCTCTGTGTAAAAGCTCCAAAGCTTGTTTCTCTCTCTCTCACCAGCAAAAGTTGGTACAATACAAGATATTATCTCAACCACCTTTTCTCTTGGCTATCTCAGAGGAGGTCAGTTTAGGATGGAACCAGAAGCCAGTCATTCCAGACATGCAGTAAGGTCTCTGGGATAGCTACCACTGATACTTAAGGAAAAGCTTTCTTAACCAAGCAAAATAATTATTCCTTTCTCTGTCTCCCTGTTTCCAAATATAGTGAAGTATTTTTTTCTCCCCACAAAGCAGTTTTGCTATATGAGGATCCTTCACTAAAACTGGAATTGCAGTTTTGCAAGTTACAGTGCTTTGAAAGGATGTGATCTTTCCTTCGTCTTCATTCTTAACTCAGTTTCATTGTCACCAAATTCATGACAGTGGATTCTGCTGCATAAACCTTTATTATACACAGCATGCAATAAACATACAGATGCAAGGAAAGTTTGTCTCCGTTTTTTCTTCCGTCTCTTATTTCAATTATTAAATGAAAATCGAAGACAAAAAACGGAGACGAAATATTCTCGGAGCAAAATGAAAACATTCTTGTTATTCAATAGTGTTTGTCTTACCATCTTCTGTAATCACATAGCAAACATCAACGGAATGAGGTTAGTGTACTTAAAAAACTGAAATCAGGCATAACTCTACCCGGATTGTGAGAATGAAGAAACAAGCGTGGCCATTCAGCATGCTCTCTCCCAGGAAAACAGACTGTTGTTTTTATAATAAATCATGTTCTTGTTAAGGCAGTTTGATCACCATTAATTAAGGTGAAATCGTTAAAACTGTACAGGCTTCTAGGAAGGAAAAGCATACAGTCCATTCAGATTATTGTCAGAGAGCAAAAAGGATCATTTCATGGTAGCTAGTAGCTGGTGCTTTCAGCCAAATTCATGTTCCATTGAAATCACCTCGCAGTGAAATGAAGAAATTTACGCTCATGCAGTAACGTTGGCAGATGTCTTGAGCGTCTGTAGTACCGGCGAGAAGACGTTACTGGGAAAAGTCTTTGACTTTTGTCTTCCTGTTTTTCAGGTACCTGATGCTTAAAAACCAGAGGGACCTGTACTGAGGAGATGTCAGGTTCGATATTTGGGGAGACATACTGATTGTGGGAGAAACTCTGTAAAATTTAACTAATTCTTTTTCTTCTTCTTATCCTGCCTTTTTATTATTATTTCCCCTGGACAAGTTCCCAGTCACATAATTTTGTTCTAATAACATAATCTCAACCTTATGAGATCTTAATTCTTTTCTCTGTTTAACCCCAGGATATTTATAGAGTTTCAAAAACTCCGAATCAGGCGTTCCTTAACCCGGAATGGGGCGTATATTTAAGTTTATTTATTTTTATTTTTATTTTGCAATAACAACATACAAATCTGATTTCACTAATACTAACTCAGCCCGAACTGCATTGAACTCACCATCAGCCTCAACAGAGACGATCTGGAGGAGGAAACAGACAGATCCCATGTACTGGACAAAGGTGAGTGTGAATCTCTTAGAGCCTGGAGCCATTGCCATGCTATTAAGTCCTTAGCCGCAGGAGGTTGGCTATAAAGGGGTTTTATTTCCTCTGAGCCTCAGGCGCAGGATCGGTGGTGGTGATGATTTAAATGAGCACTTTCCCTCGGCAGGATCTTGCGTCTTGCACTAACGGAGGGAGGAATGGAAAAAGAAAGAGAGAAAGAAAGCGGAATCCTTCGCTTGGCTGCTACAGTGAGAGAGTAGAGCGGGAGGAAAATGTCCAGCCAGCTGGGTTTGGGGAGCGGTTTTATCTAGCCCAATTCTGCAGGGCAGTGCACATGGAGAACCGGTGTTAAAAGTCACATTGCGCTGTCAGTAAATACCTAATGGGTCAGAGTGGAAGAAATGTAAAAGCCCAGAGGGAGAGAAAGGGGGAAGCTGCAAGCATCAAGCAGGCGAAATCCCTGCCTGAAAGAAGGGGAGTTAGATAGCGGGTGGTGCTGCAAGTGGTGAGTTCACGGAGGGGCCTTTCATCTCTGGAGATTTGGGTTAGAACGTGTGGAGATTGTGTGGTCTGCACCACATACACCTCACCACGTAGTTTGGCAGTCTCAGCTCAGAAGAGGTCCAGATCTGGGATAGCAAGGGGTGCTGTTGTCAGGGCTGAGTGCATGGGCTGAACGGTGTGGATTCCCAGGGCTGGACTAGCAGGAGGGATGCTGCAGGTCAGGCTGAGGTGAACTGACTAGATTGTGTGGGAACCCAGGACGGAAAGGGCAGAGCAGAGAGGCGAGTGTAGGTGAGGAGCCAGGTGCGTTGGCTGAGCGGTGGGGAATCCCAGGTCTGGAGGGGAGGTTGGGGTGAGGGCTGCAGATCAAGATAGAAGTACATCAGCCAGCTATGCAGGGCCCAGACTAACGGGCTAGGGCCGCTCAGGAATGAAGTCCACTGACAGAGCTTTGTGTGGGAAGATTGCAGCTTCTGTCAGCACTCTGTGTCCCTTACTGTCAGCACTCCCCTAACACGTGCCCGAATAAGACTAAAAGGAAGCCTCCGGGAATGGATGCAGCCCGAAAGGGGCTGAGTTGTGCCAGGAGCCATTTCGTGAAATACATAAACGGCACATAGTTTCGTGTTGCTGTTGGAACTGAGCGGAGCTCAGAAATGTTGTTTTTCATTTTCTCGTTTGGGGATGGGTTTTTTTTCCCCCGGCTTCTTAAGATTTCCCCCCCTAGACATATGAGGTTGGACAGGAACAGGCCAGCCTGCTGGAGAAACGCAGAGCCATCGAGAGAGGAGACTGCAAGCGGAGGCTGCCTCTGCCTTCCCTCTGCACCCGCCCCAGTGTAGTAAATGAAAGGGGGCTGATACCTTGCTGCAGTGCAGATTACGTTGCTACTGTGTTGAACCTGCAGAAAGTTATTTTCACAGTCTAGTAGAAATGGCTCAAGCTCAAGAGTTTCTATGTGTGATCTTCAAGGGAGACTTCGGTGCTGGATGCCCTAGAAATACCTTAAATAGAATGGATTTGATTAATCTAGATACATAATGCTCTCCCTCCGCATTCTCTCTCTCTGGTGTGTGTGAATTTAATCCTTGCAAAGGGTTTTAGATTGATAGCTTTGAAGTCTTCTGTGTATGCACAGAAAACACATAGAAGGGAGTTTCTCTACATTGCCCTGCCAATCTGTTTCAGACCTAATCTGGAAGGACAACCACCACTAGGGGTTAGAAGTTAGGTCAGTTTCCTGCCCATTCAGTCCTTGGCCTAATATCATTATCTGATTACATTCTTTATTACAGCAAATGTGTGCTAGATATAACAGATATTAATGTACAACATGATAGCAAGGGGAAAATAACCTTTTGGAGTTCTTTGGATTTATTCATTTGATTCTTTTACTAATGATGTAGCTACTGAAATAAAACAAACCTGATATTTGCTATTTGTTAACCCCCGAAAGGAGCCTATATTTTGCTAGTCTTACTCATGCAAAAAAAAAAAAAAAATCCGATTGGCCCCAAAATACATGCATAACTACAGTGTGCAAGATTTGGCCATCTGTCTGAAGACAGAACACCAATGTTCAGGTATAAACTATTTAAATTATTTCATAGGTGTGTGTGTGTGTGTGTGTATATATATATATATATACGCCTTCTTAAGGACTAGTTTCTCAGCCTGGAATTTTTTTAAAATGCATTAGAAAATATTAAATTTTATATGCATGAGATTGTAATTAAATGGTATCCTGTACATTTTTAATTTTAAAATCTTTAGGTCCTTAACAAACCTTCTATGAAATGATTAAAATCTTTTTGTGCCAAAGGAAAGCAAGCATGCCAGTCTGGGGGTGGGTAAAAACAAGATCAGTGAAAAATTCCTTCCTGACCCCTGCCTCCAAAAGAGGAGCTTCCTACTCCTTTAAAATGCTAAATTGAGGATCGTCCATCAGACCTGCAGAACTGAGGTGTTACTTGTTTAAGTGTGCTGTTAAGCTTTTGAATATTCCAGAAGAGTATACCAACAGTAATGGTTCACATATATAGCTACATGCAAATATACAGTGCTTAAGTGATATATAAGAACTAGGTATTATTATTAGTAATAATAATATTAAGGGTGTCCCATTGGTAAAGAGCTCTGACTTGTCTCTGGGAAATGCAAAGAGTCATATCACATCTGGAGGAAACAAGAAACTAGGCTTCACTATGTCCTAACACATGCATATTGTTTTATTGTCAAGGCATTTTATCTCCAGCACACATCTGTTAGGGCAGTGATTCTCAACCAGTGTTACATGTACACTTGGGAGTATGCAGAGGTCTTCCAGGAGGTACACCAACTCATCTAGATATTTGCCTAGTTTTACAACAGGCTACATAAAAAGCACTAGCAAAGTCAGTACAAACTAAAATTGTATACATAAAATGTCTTGTTTATACTGCTCTATATACTATATACTGAAAAGTAAGTACAATGTTTATATTCCAGTTGATTTATTTTATAATTATAAGATAAAAATGAGAAAATATGCATTTTTTCAGTCATACTGTGCTGTGTCACTTTTGTATTTTTATGTCTGATTTTGTAAGCAAGTAGTTTTTAAGTGAGGTGAAAGTTGGGGTACATATGACATAGCCTCCTGAAAAGGGTACAGTAGTCTGGAAAGGTTAAAAGCCACCATGTTAGGGCATGTCAGAACTTGTACCTTCTAGCCCTTCTCTTCCCCTTATTGGGCAGCCTTTATATATCAAAACCCTATCATTTTCTCTCTTGCCAGTATAGAATCATAGAAATGTAGGGCTGGAAGGGACCTCGAGAAGTCATCAAGTCCAGCCCCCTGTGCTGAGGCAGGACCAAATATATCTAGATCATCCCTGACAGGTGTTTGTCTGACAACCTGTTCTTAAAAACCTCCAATGACAGGATTCCACAACCTCCCTTGGAAGCCTATATATAGCATTAGAAGCAAAGACATATCTCCTTTGTCCATTGTTAGGAGAAGGTGATCCATCATGTTAAGGTCTTTCTCCATGGTGTGGGATGATCTGAATCCAGAATGATAGGTGTCAGAAAATCTAATTGTTTCCAGATGGGACTGAAGCTGTTCAATCACCATCTTCTGAATAACCTTTTCCAAAAAGGGAAGATAAGGGAGTAGCCAATAGTTCACCAAAGTTAACAACAAAAATAGACTTTTTAAAGAAAGAGCCACACATCTGCTCTGACTCTCCATTGCCTTGCACTCTGTGTAGTCCTTTACACATGTGCAAAGTGGGCATAAAATTCTACTAGACCAGAATAGTTGTGTTTTACACCCACTTCGCACTCACCTTTGCATACGTGTAAACGAATGCACAAGGTGCAAGTCGGTGGAAAATCAGTACGCATATATGTACATGTGGGTCCCTGACCTGAAAAGCAGCAGTAATGGTCTCCAGCAGCAGCAGTTACAGCATACTGCCCTCTCATTAGCTTTAACCAGCCAGGAAAGACATGAATCCATGACACAAGTGGTCAGTCTTGCCCACCAAGTAGCATCATCAGGTTCTGAGAGATTTCAACCTCTAGGTGGAAGACAATACATATCTGAAGCAGTTTGCTGGAAGTTGTTATAGGAGCCCATAGGATTATAAAGCTTCTGGTAGTTTTATACTGATTTAAAAATCAGTCAGTGTAATGATAAGGGGAAAGATATTGCATCTAAATAATTTAAACCAGTTAGGTTTAAACCAGTTAGGTTTAAATCCCCAGACTGGATAATGAAGAAATGTATGAACAACACAAAGACTAGCATAGCATGGATAGATGGCAAATGCCTAGAAGACCTAGACTTTGCTCATGATATTATGCTATTGAATGACACCCCAAAAAAGCTACAGATACCTTGGCAAAAACAGCAGACCAAGTAGGGCTCAAAATCAGTTATGCCAAAACAAACATCCTTGAAACCCAGACGTCAAGCAGTAACATCATGTTAGGAGGCAAAAACATCAAGAAGGTTGAAACAGTTCATTTACTTGGTCAGCACTGTATTAGTGAATGGAGACCTCGAGAAAGAAATAACATCAAGAATAGGAAAGGCATCCACAGCATCCACTAAACTCAACAACATATGGAAATGAAAGATACACAGTACCAAAAAAACCCAGAATTTTCAACTGGAATGTAATCTCAGTGCTAACATATGGTAGCAAGAGCTGAAGATCTATTAAAATGTTATCTAGAAAACTAGATGCCTTTGAAAACAAGTGTCTGTGAAAGATTCTAGTCCTTGGATGGAGAGACTTGGTCACCAATGAGGAGATTTGAGAAATAGTAGTCTTTAGCAGATAGAGCAGAGGAATAGAGGCCCGGAAGAGCTGGATTCTATTCTTGACTGTGGCACTGATTCTCAGTGTAACTTCATGTAACCTGTCTGGGCATCTTAATAGATAACTTAGTAATATTACATTGTTAATGTGACAAATTTTTACCTTCTGAAGCCTCCGGTATCAGCTGATGCCAGAAACAGAGACAATATAAAAGTGTCTGGCCTTGGACGGCAAATCTTATGTAAAGGGAACTGAAATATCCAACAGACAATGCAGTATTTACATACAAGCACTGCACTGGTGGACATATGGATCCTAAGGGATACGGAGCCTGTGTGCCTGAGATACTCAGAAAACACTGTAGTACTGTACAACTATTGTATGCATTGATAGTACTG